TGTTGTCGATGCTGTGCCATGCCAGTTTGCAGCTGTTGATCTTGAGCAATGCGTTGCGATTCTTTAGTGTTTTGCAACTCATGGTAGGTAGATCGCCTTGGAACGGCTATATCCAAGATGAAATTTGAGTGTTAGGATTTGCGCGAAACACTGTGTTTTTCCGGGTAAATGGACGTTCCCTTTGCCGTCGTGCCTTTGCCGTCGAATCGTGCTCGATCTGCGCGCGTAGTGTAGCTGAGGTGTCTAGGTGACTTTTTTCTCCGTTGTTGTCATCGTTGTGCCATTGTGTTTTGCAACTCAGTTTGTTTTTGCAAATCGCAGTGGGGTGGCTGCGTCAAGGTTCCTTGCTGCTGCGGCTGCGTGCGTAATACTAGTGTGTTTTGCAGCTGAGAATTGTAAATCGTCCTGGAGTGGCCGCATCACGGTTGCGATGGTGATTGCTGCAAAATTTCTTTTGAAAAGTGCTCCAAAACCGTCCTTTTTTGCTGCAATTTCTGCTGCCATTATGTACGTTAAAGTTTCTCTGTGTAAAAGCTGGCTCTGTGTAAAAACTAACCTGTGTAAAAGCCTCTCTGTGTAACAGCTTGTGTGTATATAAAACCTTGCTCTGTGCAACAACTTCTGTGTGTCCAAAACTTCTCTGTGTAAAAGCTTCTGTGTGTAAAAACTTCTTTGTGTAAAAGCCTCTCTGTGAAACAGATTATCAGTGTAAAAACTTCTGTGTAGAAGCTGGCTGTGTTAAGAGTTTCTCTGGTCAAAAACTTCTGCGTGCAAAAACTTCTCCGTGTAAAAGCTTCTCTGTGCAAAAACTTCTCTGTGTAAAAGCCCCTCTGTGAAACAGACTCTCTGTGTAAGAGCGTGTAAAAGCTGGCTCTGTGTAAGAGCTTGTTTGTGCAAATCTGCGTGTAAAAACTTCTCTTATAAGATTCTTACTGCTACAGTCTGAGACCATCAAAAATTATTATTTTTTCATTTTTTTTCATTTTCATTTTCATTTCCATTTTCATTTTCATTTTCATTATCATTTTCATTATCGTTTTTTTCATTTTATCTTCATTTTTTTTCATTTTTGTTCATCACCTTTTGCCATCAAACTTCATTTTTTTTCATTTGCAACTTCATTTTTTTTCATTTGCAACTTCATTTTTTTCATTTTCCTTTGTTTTTGATGGTTTTTCATTGTTTTTCATGGCTTTCCTGGATTTCAGGTGCCACGGGCAAGGAGAATGAAAAAAAAATGATAAAAACATGATAAAAAATGAAAAAAATGAAAATTTCCTCGAGTTTTTCAAGATTTCCTGGTTCGGAGTGAGAATCTGCAACTTTGAGTCCAAATTTTCATTTTTTTTTCATTTGCAACTTCATTTTTTTTTTCCATTTTCCTTTGTTTTTGATGGTTTTCCATTGTTTTTCATTGTTTTTCATGGCTTTCCTGGATTTCAGGTGCCACGGGCAAGAAAATGTTCATTTCGCAAACCACCGTCCTGGATATCCAGGATTTTCGCAAACACATCCTTGGGGAAACCAGATTTTCGCAAAACATATTTTTGGGCATGGCGGTTTTTCGCAAAACATGGGTAAAAAAATCTTTTGAGAAAGATCTGACCCTGATCAGATCTTTCGCAAACCACGGTCCTGGATATCCAGGATTTTCGCAAACACATCCTTGGGGAAACCAGATTTTCGCAAAACATATTTTTGGGCATGGCGGTTTTTCGCAAAACATGGGTAAAAACATCTTTTGAGAAAGATCTGACCCTGATCTTTCGCAAACCACCGTCCTGGATATCCAGGATTTTCGCAAACACATCCTTGGGGAAACCAGATTTTCGCAAAACATATTTTTGGGCATGGCGGTTTTTCGCAAAACATGGGTAAAAAAAAATCTTGTGAGAAAGATCTGACCCTGATCTTTCGCAAACCACCGTCCTGGATATCCAGGATTTTCGCATTTAACACATCCTTGGGGAAACCAGATTTTCGCAAAACATATTTTTGGGCATGGCGGTTTTTTCGCAAAACATGGGTAAAAACATCTTTTGAGAAAGATCTGACCCTGATCTTTCGCAAACCACGGTCCTGGATATCCAGGATTTTCGCAAACACATCCTTGGGGAAGCCAGATTTTCGCAAAACATATTTTTGGGCATGGCGGTTTTTCGCAAAACATGGGTAAAAACATCTTTTGAGAAAGATCTGACCCTGATCTTTCGCAAACCACGGTCCTGGATATCCAGGATTTTCGCAAACACATCCTTGGGGAAACCAGATTTTCGCAAAACATATTTTTGGGCATGGCGGTTTTTCGCAAAAGGACATTTCGCAGTTTGCATCATTTTCCCCGTTGTTCTTCTCCCGTTGTGTCTCCCCCGTTGTAACACCCCGTTGTGTGGAAATAGCGTGCTTATGTGCATATTGTGCATTATGATTATTAACGGATGTAGGGTTTAAGGTTAGACACGACATATTTTTGATAGAAATGTCATTTTTGAACCAAATTTCGACCAAAAAAAAATCGAAAAAAACATATTTTAAATTTCATTCCAATAACTTGAGCATGATCCACTGAATGTTTTAAACCTGATTTTGGACATAATTTAAGGATAGAAATTAGTTTTTTGAACATATTTTGACAAAAAATATTTTGAAAAAAAAACTTTTAAATTTCATTCCAATACCTTGAAAATGAACCAGTGAATGTTTTAAGATTGGTTGTGGACAAAAAATATGGATAGAAATTACTTTTCAAAAAATATCAAAGTATTCAGCAAATATGCATAATTTTACAATTTCAATATGTTACAAAAGCAACTTTTTCTAGTTTACAAACTATAAAAGTGACATTTCTCATTTTGCATCACTTTCCCGTTCTTCTTCTCCCGTTGTGTTACCCCTGGCCAGCCATGGCTCCCCAGCTCCGTGCCCTCCCCGTTGTCGCAAGCCGGGCGGTTTCTCCGTGACAGGCCGTCCAGGTCCAGGTCCAGGGCACGGAGCAAAAACATCCGAGCGTGTCCGAGCTGAAGCTGAGCAGCCCGGCCAGTGATGCAGAAAGCATCCAAGCTCGAGTAGCAACATGACGATGCCACGAATTTTGCATTTTGCATACATTTAAGCAGGCAAATGTGATCAGGACAGATCAAAAAAGAGAATTCAAATTGTAACATGCCCCATAATTGAGCAGACCTTTTGTCACTGATTTGTTTGTCCTGACAAATCCTTACTTGGATGATTTTGGGTGTGAGCGAGAAAAAGGACATGAGCGAGGCTTGCGCGAGATTCATCAGCTGGACCCAGTTTGGACCCTTGGGTCTTTTTGGACCCTTTAATGCAAAGCAAAATCGAAACAAAATGAAAATTTCCTCGAGTTTTTGAAGATTTCCTGGTTCGGAGTGAGAATCTGCAACTTTGAGCCCAAATTTTCATTGTTTTTTCATTTGCAACTTCATTTTTTTTCATTTTCCTTTGTTTTTGATGGTTTTCCATTGTTTTTCATTGTTTTTCATGGCTTTCCTGGATTTCAGGTGCCACGGGCAAGGAAAATGAAAAAAAAATGATAAAAAAATGAGAAAAAAATGAAAAAATGAACATTTCCTCGAGTTTTTCAAGATTTCCTGGTTCGGAGTGAGAATCTGCAACTTTGAGTCCAAATTTTCATTTTTTTTTTCATTTGCAACTTCATTTTTTTTTTTCATTTTCCTTTGTTTTTGATGGTTTTCCATTGTTTTTCATGGTTTTCCTGGATTTCAGGTGCCACGGGCAAGGAAAATGAAAAAAACATGATAAAAAAATGAAGTTTAAAATGAAAAAAATGAAGTTTGAAATGAAAAAAATGATGTTTGAAATGAAAAAAATTAAGTTTTGGGGAAACAAAAAACGAAAAAAAATGAAAAAAAATGAAAAATAAATGAAAACAAAAAAATGATTGAAAAACAAAATGAAAAAATGAAGTTACAAATGAAAACCCAAATGAAAAATAAATGAAAAAAATAATTTTAAACATTTCCAATCTGTGGCTCGATGCGAATCATATAAAACTTCTCTGTGTAAAGACTTCTCTGTATAAAAAAAATTGGTTCTGGTAAAAGCTGTCTGTGTGTAAAAAGTTTTCTGCGTAACAGCTGGCTGTGCGAAAACTTATCTGTGTAAAAGCTTAGCGTAAAGCATCTGTGAAAAGAGGTTGGAAGAGGTGAGAAGAGTTGAGAAGAGTTGACAAGAGGTGACAAGAGTTGAGATAAGCTGAGAAGAGGTGAGATGAGTTGAGCAGAGGTGAGAAGACGTGGGAAGAGCTGAGACGGGGTGGCAAGAGGTGAGAAGAGCTGAGACGAGTTGAGAAGAGTTGAGAAGAGGTAGGCAGCGCTGAGGAGAGTTGGGAAGAGGTGAGAAGAGGTGAGCTAAGGTGGGAAGAGATTATATAAAATAAGAGAGTAGTTCAGAAAGGTTCTGAGAAGAATTGAGAAGAGTCGAAAAGAGGTGAGGCAAGATGAGGACGAATTCACGGGGCAGAGTTGAGAAGATGTGAGGTTTCGCCCCAACTCCTATAGGCATAACTTGTCTTTCAATCCTGTATAACATTCCTTGCTGCTGGCAACTTCTGCCACCCGCCTCGTGCGGGTTCCACTTGTATTTGGATGATATACTGGCCATATTCGCAATTCGCCATGACTGAGCTGTGCAAGAGGGTGCATGCTGTGGAATGCTGTGGGTTACGATGGCACCAAGACAGAAACAATTCTATGCAGCTACTTCTCGCTACTTCCTTTCTGTCGCTTGGCTTGGTCTTGCTGCGATTTAGTTTGGTTTCGCGCTGCTTTAGCATTTGCAGAGTCCTTGCGTGATCCAGTAACCTTTAAACAAATGACAAAAAAGGCATGTAGAGATCCAGCGGATACATTTTATTGAAGGACTTTCCCAGGAGTTTCAAGTTGACACTTGAAGAAATCAGAGCTTTAAAATCTAGATATGCAAAAGTGCTCTGTCCCGTTGAGTGTGGTTATCTAGATATGCCGCTCAAAATCCAGGAATCAACGTTCAGCTTAGACAGTCTTGGAGGCAGCGGTTTTGACCCGTGCCAGGTTCAAAGATTTCTCCGAAGCCGCCACCCTAAGCACCGGGTGTACAACCTTTGCAAGGAAGAGGGTCGAAGGTGCCTCCGTGGCATTCGCCATCTAATCCTGTTCAGTTGCAAGACTTGTTTGTAGCCACACTCACTTGGCAAGGGTAATGTTTCTTCCAGCCTCTTTTGTTCCGCAGCGTTTCACCATGAAGCTGCGCTTGTCAAAAACACATGTTCCTCGGATAAGCGCACGGCAGGTACGATGACGAGTGCTTCCGAGAGGTTCGACGCAGGTCAGACCGCCATTCCTTCAAAACTTCAAAACAAAGCGACTAAAGTGAACTGAAACTGCAAACCAAAGGCTTTTGTTGGCTTCTCCATGAGTGATCATGAAATATTGTGAGTGCCATTCTCCACAGCACTTCATCCCTTTGAAACTGCAAGCCTGCATATGTTCAGATTGTTGTCCTTGGGAGGATTACTTTCTTCGACCACACCGTTTGTCCTTTGCAGCATTTGGTGGAACTCCTGGAAGAGCAACACAGGCTCGAGCATTTCTGTCTCGAGACATCTCGAGAATTCTTCGGGCGCTTATGCGCTCTTGTCTGAGAAACGTTATACTTTGTTTGCGTTCTTGCAATAGATCTTGACAGCTTGGCCCATTTTTCGTTGTGTCATGTGCAGGTTTCTTAGAGAAGACACGAACAATGTCGTTGTTATCCACTGCAAGGTGCTTCTGCACGTTTATTTCTTCTTTTCCATTCTTTTCACAACAGTGTCGCAGTGCTAGGTTTGGAACCGTCGCAAGCTTCAAACGTTCTTCCAAAATGGGGCCCTCTCACAACCACAAGACGCTCTTTTTGAAACCTGGAAGCCAAAGGAGCTATGCATGATGATATACACAGGCACATGCCGCACACACAATATCATATAATACCATACCAGTAGTGCCGGGCCCGCGCCGGGGCGGTAGGAACGTTTTTTGAGATGCAGAAGCAGCGAAGTGTTAGATGCATCAGCGAATGAGCAAATGGTTGTTGAGATACCAATGAAATGACATGAAAGAATCCGTGCACAGCTGACGGAATGAATCAATGAACCAATGAAGCGATGAACCAATGTTTGGATGTTTTCGGGTATTGGAGGTTTGGGCACAAACTAGTGAACCGATGAAGAAACGAAGCACTGAATCAATGAACGAGACGCTGAATCCATCATTCAACCAACCAACCAATCAACCAACCAATCAATCAATCAATCAGTCAGTCAATCAATCAGTCAATGGATCAAGGAATCAGCCAATCAATGAAGCAACGAAGCAGTGAACCAATGAGTCAATGAATTAGTGAACCAATGAATCAATGAACCAATGAATCAAGAGTCGATGAATCAATGAACCAATGAACCAATGAATCACTTGAATCAATGAATCAGTGAATCAATCGTTCATTGAATCGATGAACCAATGAACCGAAGAATCAATGAATCAATGAATCAGTGACTAAACGAATGAACGACTGAATGAATTGAAGGATTGTATGGATGGATCGATGAGTGAGCTACTTTTATTTGAGCTACTTCTTTACTGAGCGACCTCTTCGCTGAGGCACCTCTTCTCTCAGCTACTTCTTCTCTGAGCAGGCACTGATCTGGGCTACTTCTGCTTTGAGCTGCCTCCCAGCTAGCTCTTCTGTGGCTTCTGTAACCCAATTCTTCGCTTCGCACAGCTGGTACAATTTGTTTAGCAACCTCCAGCTGCAATCCCGAATAGCACAAGAGTAGCACTATGGTCAAAAACTACCGTTCGTGCAGCTGCTGCAATGCGTTTAGCAACCTCCAGCTGCAATCCCGCTTGCCAGAAGCGTCGCACCAAATCGACCAACGTTCGCGCAGCGCTCGATCCCCCCCGCTTTTTGCAATTTTCGTGTGAAATCGAGCTCTCGCTACAGGCTGGTACACATTTTGCCGGCCTCATCTTCCAAAAGTGTTCCGAACGCATCAATTTTTTAACGTTTTGCAAATCGAGCTCTCGCTGTTTGCCGACCTCATCTTCCAAAAGTGCTCCGAGGCCGTTAGTTTTTTAAGATTTTCAAGTGCAAATGAGGCCCGCAACCCTGGAAATAGAGACCCTACTGCGGCAACCCCAGGAGCCATTTCGCGCCCGAGCGTGTTTTCACCCAAAATTCACAGGCTTCCGAACTGTTACATTTCCCAACTACTTGATGATGGGTAGTTGACATGATGATGCGGTTGGCATGATGATGATGCGGTTGACATGATGGTGGGAAGGCTAACCATGACAGTCGTCCGCAACTCGGAAGCCGGGAGCAGATATATCAAGATACACTCCCGAGCCAGATCAGTCCTCAGCTAGATTGTCCGACAGATACAGTTCTGTTCACAGCATATCGGACCATGTGGGTGCGAATGAGGAGGACTACGCAGATGAGGATCAATAAGTTGATGATCTAGACTACGACACAGATGGCTTTATGACTTTATGTGCCTACATTCATTGTACCGTCGAGATTCAGAAGGGATGAATGCCCTGACATGGCACCACCTCCAGTACCAACGCATGCTAGGGGAACCAAGGAGAGCATAAGGGTAGACCTCTGTATTAAAAAACATTTTACACCTACACAGCTTAAGATATAATACTACAAAAACATATAGTATAATATAACATACTAGAGTAACATATAATAAAACAATATATTTAATATAAATAAAGAGAAATATAATACAGTATTATATAACATATAATATTTCATTATGTTTAATAAAAAGAGAAAATAAAATAAGATATAATTTAAGATAGTATAATACCAGTAGTACCGCACAAGGCGGTGGCGGAAGTTTCAAAAATAGGAAACCTATAGGAGAGATTGGTTGTTGTGAATCACGGATGGCAGAGCGAAGCCACTGATGGACCGAAAGGTGCTTGAGGTCTCCTCGCTTTCTCTCTCTTTCTCTGACTATCTACCTACCTACCTACCTACCTGCCTATCTATGTATCTACCTATCTATGTATCTATCTATCTATCTATCGATCGGTCTATCTATCTATCTATCTATCTACCTATCGATCGATCTATCTATCTATCTCTCTCTCTCTCTCTCTCGCTCTCGCTCTCGCTCTCGCGCTCGCTCTCCCGCTCTCTCTCTCTCTCTCTCTCTCTCTCTCTCTCGTGTCCGTCTATCTGTCTAGCTGTCTACCTGTCTATCTGTCTATCTGTCTATCTATCTATCTGTCTACCTGTCTATCTGTGTATCGATCTATCTGTCTATCTGTCTACCTGTCTATCTGTCTATCTATCTATCTGTCTATCTGTCTATCTGTCTACCTGTCTATCTGTGTTGCAGTGTCATTCAGTGTGGTGTAGTGTAGTGGAGTCTAGTGTAGTGTAGTGTAATTAGTGTAGTGTAATTAGTGTAGTGTAGTGTAGCGTAGTGTAAATGTAGTATTGTAGTTGTAGTTGTAGTTAGTGTAGTGTAGTGTAGTGGAATGTAGTGTAGTGTAGTGTAGTGCAATGTAATTTAGTGTAGTGGGGTGTAGTGGGGTGTAGTTGTGTAGTTGTAGTTGTAGTGTAGTGGAGTGTAGTGTAGTGTAATGTAGTGTCGTGTAGTGAATTTGAGTGTAGTCTAGTGTAATGTAGTGTCGTGCAATGAATTTTAGTGTAGTGTAATGTAGTGTAGTGTAGTGATTTTGAGTGTAGTCTAGTGCAATGTAGTGTAGTGTAGTGTTGTGTAAGTGAGTGTAATTGAGTGCAATTGAGTGTAGTGGAGTGTAGTGTAGTGGAATGCAGTGAAGTTGTAGTGTAGTGTAGTGTATTGGAGTGTAGTGTGGTGTAGTGGTGGTTGTAGTTGAAAATGCCACAAAACCCTCACGTTTGTCTCACTTTTGACAAGGTGCACAATCCTTTGCGCCTGCCACGCGAAACGACATCTGAACCTCCAAAAGTGGTCCGAACCCCTGGTGTTTTTGCACATTTTGACTTCGAAATGTGCTTCGCGCCACAACAGCGTGCACTTTTTCGACATCTCAGCTTCCAAAAGTGGTCCGGCGCTGGTGTGTTTTCTACATTTTGACTTCGAAATGTGCTTCGCGCCACAACAGCGTGCACTTTTTCGACATCTCAACTTCCAAAAGTGGTCCGGCGCTGGTGTGTTTTCTGCATTTTGATTTCGAAATGTGCTTCGCGCCACAACGGCGTGCACTTTTTCGACATCTCAACTTCCAAAAGTGGTCCGGCGCTGGTGTGTTTTCTACATTTTGACTTCGAAATGGCTTCAGCGGCGCTGGTGTGTTTTCTACATTTTGACGTCGAAATCTGCTTCGTGCCACAACGGCGTGCACTTTTTCGACATCTCAACTTCCAAAAGTGGTCCGGCGCTGGCGTGTTTTCTACATTTTGACTTCGAAATCTGCTTCGCGCCACAACGGCGTGCAATTTTTCATCTCTCATCTGGCCAACTGGCTCCACACCCGCCGCTTTAGCGAGCCTACTTTAGCGAGCCTACTTTTCGACCCTCCGGAGACACAAATCATTGGAAAAACACAGTGCTTCGCGACTTTCTTACCTTTTCGCGCATCTGCATCTTCTTTCTTCTGACTCTTTCTCTTCTACTCTTCTCTCTTCTAATCTTTTCCCTTCTCTCTGCCTCTGCCCTGCTCTGTCCATATTGTCGGAAGTTTGACTTCTAAACTTCCTTCGATAATATACTCTAACATAATTTAATGTAATATCAAGCAGTATAATATAACACCGTATAATATCACATAATATAACATAATATAGGATAATATAATGTAAGATAGCATACTTTAACTTAATATAATATACTATAACATAGCATAGCATAATGTAACATAATATGATATAATGTGATGTATAACGAAATAAAATAAAATCCAATATAATTTAATATATTTATAATATAACATAATATAATGTCATATAATATCAAAAAATGTGTATATAGTATGTCTATGTTAGATTATATATATGAAGGTGCATGTACATGGAAGTGCTGTTTCCAGGCCGGGAAAGGCCGGACTGGGCTTGTTTGCTCCTGTCTTCTGCTGCGTGAAGGCTTGTCAGAGCAGCAGTGTCGGGTCTGATATTGGTGCTTAAACCGTGATTGGGTTTTTCCGTCACAGCTCGAAGTTGGTTTGGATTGAATGCATTGAATGCAAGCCTCATTCTTTGCTTAGTTGATATAGAACAGAATGCGAACTCACTCTGAGCAGCTGGCAGCTGCAAAGGTAAACGACTTGTACTGGCATGCACTTGTACTTGTATGCTAGTATTGACTTTGTTATATATCCGGTGTTGCGCAATGAGTATGAACGATGTCCAGGGTGCAAGTTGCGTGCGTCAAACAGCTGCACAACGCTTTGGTGATTTGGTTGACAGGCGTCAAGAGCGACGCTTGCAAGGCGCTTGCTTTTGGTCTCTCAAACCATGAAAATGAAGGCAAAACATAGAACGCACACACATGTATTTATGTATATTAGTATATATAGATAAATACAACAAAAAGTAAATGCATAGATTAATAAATTGGAAAACCGTGTGTGTGTATATATATATATACATATTTGTACATTTTGTACACACTTGTTTTGACATGTTTTTAAGAAAAAAACTGTGTTTCTAGGCTCAATTCTGACGAAAAAACATCCAAAGATATAGAAACATATCAAAGATTAAGACCTTTTGCAGTAGCTTTGGCAGTTACACCTCTCTCGCAGGCACTGGAGACGTATGCTAAGAAAAGAACCCATGATGGCAAGGGTGTGACCATTCCGAGTCAGATCAGGCCATTGTTTCTGACTGGTGATGCCCGTTCGTGTAATTTTCTTTCCGCCAGGAATTTGTTTTTAAGATGCTTGATTAACACAATACAGTATATTTTATTTAGTTTTGAGCAAAGTGTCGGACACTCCGGAATTACCTGCAAAGGCACTGCAAGGTTGCAAAGGATAGTCATTTCATCTGCAAGTATCATACAGTTGGTCCGGATCAACAACTTGCTTCCGCAATTTGTCACATCACACTACATTGCCTTGACTTTCTCAATATTCCACTAATATTATTCAGTCTTTGGTGGTACAACTAATCGAATACAATCAGTGTTGGAAATGCCGACATGGAGGTATGTGAAGCTCTACTCGCAGTTCCTGCAGGAGGGCTTTCTTCGGAAGCAAGTGGTCCGCCTGAAGAGCGTTTCTCAGCAATATGGAGAGAATGTCTGTGCGACTGGAATGGTTTGCAATTTGTTATGTCGCTGATTCAAATACTGTAGCAGATTCACCTGTTACAGTGCCCGCGATTGTCCTTCATTTTTAGAAGAAACCTGAAAGCCACCTATTTGTGGGGTGGATACCCCTCACAAGAATCCTACTATTGAGATTCCGCAGATGGCACTAGTTTTGCATTTAATGTTTCTTACAGTTACTGTACACTGCCAGCGTCTCATGTCCTCTCTAATCCATGACTTGAAATTGTTGCAGTCCAGGGTGCTGTTTTAGTGTTCTGTCAAAGGTGCTGTGTAGCTTGGGCGTCGTCCTAGTTTGACGTTCAGGCTGCTGTCTCACATGACCTCACATGTAGTTCAGGGTGTCAAGGTCCAACATACTTTCATGTAAGACTTGTCAGAGCAGCAAAGACAGTGCGACTCGCGGCCGATATTTCTGTCAGCAGGGCTGACATGCAGATCACCATCTCTACATTAAGTTGTTGTAGGGCTCTGCCGCACTGTGCAGGTCGCCACAAGATTGATTCACAAGGATTCACAAGGTTGATTAATGATCATGTGATATTATGCGATACTATTGAGACTGTTATCATACTGTCTGATACTGTTCTCACACCGACCTGGATCCTGAGCTTGGGACAGCCCCAAATTGAATAAATTGAGGTATGCCTTCAAAACTTCATGAAGCTGCCGGGCTATCGCTCTTCCAGCTTCAAAGAAACTTGACAAAAACATACAAAAGCAGTGATGGCGTGTGATGGCGTGTGATGGCGTGTGGTGGGTAAATTGATGGTAATGAATTGATACGTTTTGTAAAAGGAGGGCTAATCATTTTAGTTTTTATGAGGAGGGATGGCATACAAAAATAGGAGCAGAAAGGCTCAGAGACAGACAAGCATGAAAGGCAAAGACGCTGGAAAAGCAAAAAGCAGAGAAGAGCAGAGAAGCAGAAAAGAGAAAAGCAAGAAAAGCAGAGAAGCAGAAAAGCGGAGAAGCAGGCAAATCAAAAAATAAGAAAAGCAGAAAAGCAGAGAAGCGAAGAAACAGGAAAAGCAGAAAAGCAAAACAGCAGAAAAGCAGAGAAGCAGAAAAGCAAAGAAGCAGGAAAAGCAGAAAAGCAGAGAAGCAGGAAAAGCAGAGAAGCAAAGAAACAGGAAAAGCAGAAAAGCAAAAAAGCAGAGAAGCAGAGAAGCAGGGGAAGCAGAAAAGCAAAAAAGCAGAAAAGCAGAGAAGCAGAGAAGCAGAGAAGCAGGAAAAGCAGGAAAGCAGAAAAGCAGAAAAGCAGAGAAGCAGGAAAAGCAGGAACAGCAGAGAAGCAGGCATCAAAAAAAAACCTAATTCGTAAATACATTAGTTGAGGTTGGCATGATGATGTAGTGAACATGATGGTGTGAATGCTAACCATGACCATCGTCCGCAACTTGCATTTTTGCGAACCAACCTTCTCTTGAAAGCTGACAGCATTACATGTGAGAAGAGATGCTTGCATTCTGCTTTGGGGGGAGGCGCTACGCCCTCCCCCCAATCCCCTCCCCCGCTTTTTTATCTAAACCCAAGTTACATTAGTTGGGGCTGACAGGTTGCGATTTTTGCGAACGAACTTTCTCTTGAAAGCTGACAGCAACATTGCATGTGAGAAGAGGTGCTTTCATTAAGCTTTCGGGGGAGGCGCTGCGCCCTTCCCCCAATCCCCCCTCCCGCTTTTTTTATATATATTTCATATTTAAACCCAAGCTCGTAAATACATTGGGGTTGGCATGATGATGTGGTGAACATGATGGTGTGAATGCTAACCATGACCATCGTCCGCAACTTGCATTTTTGCGAACCAACCTTCTCTTGAAAGCTGACAGCATTACATGTGAGAAGAGATGCTTGCATTCTGCTTTGGGGTGAGGCGCTACACCCTCCCCCCAATCCCCTCCCCCGCTTTTTATATCTAAACCCAAGTTACATTAGTTGGGGTTGACAGGTTGCGATTTTTGCGAACGAACTTTCTCTTGAAAGCTGGCAGCAACATTGCATGTGAGAAGAGGTGCTTTCATTCTGCTTTCGGGGGAGGCGCTGCGCCCTTCCCCCAATCCCCCCTCCCGCTTTTTTATATATTTCATATTTAAACCCAAGCTCGTAAATACATTGGGGTTGGCATGATGATGTGGTGAACATGATGGTGTGAATGCTAACCATGACCATCGTCCGCAACTTGCATTTTTGCGAACTAACCTTCTCTTGAAAGCTTGGGGGTGACATGATGATGTAGTGGAGGTGGCCATGCCAAAATGTATCAAATCTCTTGGGGTTGGCATGATGATGTGGCGAACATGCTCACATGTAGAAAATCTCATGCAAAATGGAAGGGGAACATGCCAACATGCAGCAAATCCCATACAAAATGGAAGGTGAACACGCCCACATGTAGCAAATCCCATGCAAAATGGAAGGTGAACATGCCAAAATGTGGAGCCAATCCCATGCAAAATGGAAGTTGAACACGCCCGCATGTAGGAAATCCCATGAAAAATGGAAGGTGAACATGCCAAAATGCAGCCAATCCCATGCAAAATGGAAGGGGAACACGCCCACATGTAGCAAATCCCATGCAAAATGGAAGGTGAACATGCCCAAATGTGGCAAATACAATGCAAAATGGAAGGTGAACATGCCCAAATGTGGCAAATACAATGCAAAATGACAAATTCAAGTTCCAAACCGTTGCAAACACTAGGCAAATGGTACCAGCGAGAAAATCAAAAAAAAATCCCAAACCTGCTCAAAAAATTCCTAAGACTGTTTCACACCCTTTGTAAAAGGTTCAGTGTCAAGGACCTGCCATGCGACTGCAGCGTGCTTCCATTTGCAATGTGGTACGTGGTGAATGTGGTGATCCATTGAGGTGCAGATAAAGGATACTGAGAAGGCAGTCCTTGCAGAAGGATTCTCGGGCCAGTCTGCATCAATGACAGACTCTTTGCTAAATCTTACATTGCTTGGCACATCTCAATGGCTTGACGTCGCTGGAGACCTAAATGTAACTGTTGATTAACTATTATATAATTAACTATGAACTATGAACAGAACATATGCTGGGTGCAATTATGAGAACTTTATTTAAAGGCGGTACTGTCAAAAGAGAGCGAGTCCCCTCAGATCCGCATGCAGAATCTTGCAGCAAACATTTGTAAAAACCGTCCATATTGGGAAACTGCTTCCTCGAGTGAAGGGTGCAGCGAGCTGAGACGATGGTTATGCTTCTGATTTCCTTTGAAATTGTGCATGTCCTTGATTGTTTTGGACAGAATTTTTGCTCACCATTCATGCATGACACTATGTAGCATGTGGAGCGTGGTAAAAACTCCAATTGCATCAGTGTACGAAAGGATACGTTCAATACACTGTAGTTATGATGATTTCGGTTTGCAGCTGGGCTAGTCATCATTTCAAAGATTCGGTTTGAACTACGCAGGTATGCAAATGTGTTTGCATGACCAACATAATCGGAGAGATACCTTCTGCCAAGTTCTCCTTGCAGCAGTTGTAGATCCGCACCCAAACGATGATTTTCAACGATGTTGCAAGCTAGTGTCCAAGAGAACAATTTGGTGCATAGAAAACTCAAACAAGTCGTCATTCATATTGGATGAACGCAACCTCTTCCAGATATTTCTTTCCGGCCTGACAACCTTCCCACGTCATCACATTGGACTTTCACAGCCTTCGCTTGAGCCATTTGAGGATGCGTCAGACTCATCGCAAGAAGATTCGGACGAGTCATCTGCTAGTGCAGTGCAGGTGCCAAGACATGAGTGAGACACAGTGGGACCAGGAATACGGGGAGTATGCGGTGTCCGCAGAGAATTCATAGCTGCCGGCATTGTCGTGGTAAATGTTGACAAGGCTTTGAACTTGAGTGTCAAGTATTTTTGCAAGAGTGCAGCCAGCGGTGTTAAGATCACAAGAATAACTCTAGAATCTAGAACTGCCTGCTGTTACAGGAAAACCATAGTGTCAGATGAAATGCACAAGAGGCATGCTTGGTGTATATATATATAATTATGTATATATATATATATTTATTATGCATATATGATCATAGATGTCTATAATTGTCGATATGCATATATGATCATATATGTACACATAATTATACATATACACACAAGATGTTTCGCCCACTGCGAGTAATTGCACGCTGCTCGAGCTGCAAAATATGTTTCAAATCGAGTACCGGGGCTGAGCTTTGGTGCCGGGACCCTGAAAAAACATCAGCTGCGAAGCTGCAAGGATTGAAGTCTCATGGGATTTACCAGACGGTTGCAACCATATTGTATTATTGTATTGTATTGTATTGTAATGTATTGTATTGTATTGTATTGCATTGCATTGTATTGTATTGTATTGTATTGTATTGGATACAGACTCAGTAGATTCAGTAGCACGACACATGGCTTAGAAAGTGTCTGTGCATGTGCGTGCACCATAGCTTTCAATAGCTTTCCTACACCCCCCTGGGCCTCCGAAGCGACTCAAGTAAATTAGTGTAAATCACGTATCCGTATATACACATATAAGGATCCCAAAGTAGCAGGATGGAGGTTGGACTGGCTGGTCTACGTGGACATTTGCGTATCTCAGGATTTGCATCATTGCGGCCAGACAAAGCTTCAGGAAAATGATAGCCTGGTGACTTGGCAGAGTGCGACTGTGACAATTGCCCAATAGCATGTCAAAAATGTTGAGAATAAACATGCGCGCAGTGTAATACTGTAAATAGATGAATTAAGCAAGACATTTTTCCAGATGCCTCAGTAGAAAGCAACAAGGAAGTTGTGTGATTATTTTGATTTGAGCTCAAGAAATTAGGCAGGGCATCAGGAGATACTCTGCGGTGTCGCAGAAAACTGAGGTGATTGAAATGGCCTCGGACATCACATGTCCAGATGACTTCCAAATTGTTATAAGTGGCTCGGCCTAGTATATGAAGATGTATTGTGAGCCGCCACTACGGCAAGTACAATCTCACATTACTTCACACTACAAAATACATCGAAATACTACAAATATATACAAATATGAGATCAAAAAGAAGACTTACACAGCGCTCAGAGCTTTTTGACACCCAAGGTCGTCAGTCTTCGTCCAGGTGTGGCCTGGCAGAGCAGGTGCGGGTTTGAATTTTTTGTTCCCTTCATTTGTTCCCTTAACAAAGCGCCTCAAAGCGCCCCAAACTGATCTGGCTTTACCCTTTTCATTGTCTCTTCATTGTCTCTTCATTGTCTCTTCATCTCTCTTCATTCCTCTTCCACGTCAGTTGCAGACAACTGGAGTAGGAGACGTCCGCCATGTGTTAAAATATCATAAAATATCTTAATCTATGCTTTCTCGAGCACAGCTCTGATGGCCTGATGGCCCGATGGCCGCACCAGATCGCACCAGGTTGAGGTCATCGGCTCCTTTTGGCTGAACAGCGGCTACCTCTCCAAGGGTATCCAGCTTCCGCTTGAGGAGATTGACTACTGCCGAAGTTTGCAGCACCTGTCCTTTGGCTCCAGAGCATCAGTGGAGCATCTGTGGTCAGCAGAAAACACACCTCAAGGACTTAAGGAAGACCAAAACTTGACTCAGAATCTGGACACAGGCACAAGCTTCATTGCATCCCACTGCAATACATTCCAATGATATTACACACATGCCCAGATGCCCACATCTCTACATCCACAAGGCTTGTGCATACGCACACTTCTGTGTGCAGGCAGAATACAGGCCAGGCGTTTTTGCATATGCATAGCTTATAAATGATTATTATTGTTGTATTCTTCGCGTGTGGTTTCTTGTGTTTTGCTGGATTGCTTGTGTAGACTGGAGTTGAACAAGCGGCTACGCTTCCAAGCACACACAGCGCTTCCAAGCACCAAGGTCACACATTCTGCTGCTTGATTGCATCCAGGGGGAGATCAGATGGTTGGCAGGATGCCGCACTCAAAGGCAACAGATGAGTTGCTCTACACTCTACACTCTACTCTTCTTGGAAAATCATTGGGCAGACTTGGATCTGTTGTTTACTAAGTTGTTTACATGTGCGATCCAAATATAGGGGTACTCATTCTCTTCAAAGAAACGGAGGTTTGTGTGTGTGTGTGAGAGAACTTGATATAAAACTAAAAACTCCAATCCCTCCCTTACAGAATGCATTACTTCAACGTGGACGCTTTTGCAAAAAGCCAGAGGAGCAGGTACTCCTGCTTGCCAACAGTAAAGCAAACAGTGGTTCAATGCCAATGCGAACAAGACTGAACAAGCACCTTGTTCTTTTCATCGCTCTTAGTCAGTTTGGACAGAAGTGAAGTCGAAGTGAAGACAGCAATTTAAAGCCGCTGATTCGCTTGCTCTGTCATGTGGTCCTTATGCTTTATACGAAGCACCATCATGCACCCATGGTTGTATAACTCTTCCTCTTGCGGCTGTAGCTGGTATTTGCACGCGAACTGTCCTCGGTAACAGCCATTCCAAACTATATCGCGCATGTATGTGACCGATACAGCTTACAAGTGCATTTATCGATGAGACGTCACACAGTGCAACATCCACCCAGCACAAGCTACTGTCGTCTCCAGCGGTTCGGGAGGTTGGATGTGCATTCAGGCATTGTGGTCACATTCTCGGCATTTCCATACAGGCTGCTCTTTTTTTGGCCCACCTTATAGTCTGAATCTGGATCCAAGGCCAGATGAGGCTTGTGAGATTTTTTGCAGCTTTGAAATTCTTTCAGGATCTCTGCCAGCAAGGCCTGAGGGCTGACAGAACAAGACAGAAGCTGCATTGTTACAGAATTGTTTCCCTTTGAGAGACTGTGCTTGATTGCCAATGATTGCCATATTGATTACTCCACAAATTTCTATACAGACGGAAGTCCCAAAAGACAACGATCCAAAACATCTTCAGCATTTCTTAACGCTCAGCAAGTTGCTTGTTTTCTGTAAGCTCATCCCATCCAACATTTGAAGGCTCAAGATCATTTTCAAGACTCCATTCCAAGACCAATCAGCCAATCTCGAAGATTTGGTGAACGTTCCGGAGATGGAGAGAGGAGTCTGTTTGAAGCAACTCTTCGTCCATGTCCCTCGGCACTGAAACTTTCCACCGCCGTGGGTTGCCATGGGATGCCATAGGGCAGTGCCGAGCGTCAAGCCTTGCTCTTCCGTTGGTGAAGTCAACGGCTGAGGGGCTTTTGAGGTCGAGGTTATCTCGATTTATCTCGGTTATGTTGAGGTCGTAATGGTCGTACCAGGGCTGCGAGGGCTGCGGAGACCTGGGACCCCAACTGCGAGTTGAAAAAGGCGCAACAGGTGCTACGGTGCAACAATTGTCCAAAGTATTCAGCCAGTAGAGTGGACAGGGCTCCCAAAGGGTTTCTTCCTTAGTCATCCTTGATCAGAAGGCATTGAAGCATCCAGGGGAAGCATCCTGGGGGTGTGTTGATGATGTTTGTTTATCATGGTCACCCCTTCAAGTGCGACTCCTGCACCATTCTTTTCCATAGATTTAGGCTATCACAATGAAACATAATGAAACGTGAAAATTGTGAAATGGCCCTCAAGTCCTCCCATTCTGCAGGTCACAGACCAGCATTGATCATATTTGCATTTTCTGTATCTTTTCTTTGAGCTGCCTGAGCTATTAGGAATCTGTATTAACCTGTTATATAATTTTATAGTATTTTATATATAGTAATATAAATATAGTAATATATAGTAATATCATCTTGCAGTTCCGTCTTTCTTTAAAACTCTTTTAGTAATACAAAGTAATATCATCTTGCAGTTCCGTCTTTCTTTAAAACTCTTTTGGCACTGTAGGTTTTCCTCTTCTCACTCACATTTCTGGTCTGCTGGCCTCACTATGATTCACGGGCCTCACTATGATTCACGATGTCTCGCTATGTCACAACAACACATTGCCGAAATTGAATAACAACACAATGCAACGAACATGATTGAGCCAGACATGATAACGCTTTAACTTTAACGACATGCTTTTCGAGGATGGAGTCCCTAGACTCAGTTTCCTAAGCTTTTCGGCTGTGCTCGAGGCCAAGACCCCTTGCTACGAAGTCACTGAGGAAGAGTTTGAAAGGCACAGCAATGTATCAATTGTATTCAATTGTAGCAATATGTATCAAGCTTTGGAAGGCCAACAGGCTTACTTCAGCTTACTTGATCTATCTTGATCTTTGAACTGCAAATTTCTGCATATATGCCATTAGCAAGGTACAGTGAAGTATTGAGCAGTGCGTAGGTGCATACCGCACTCAGAGATATTCTATGCAGTTGTATTTGCAAGACATATCCTGAGTTTTCAGACCGCCCACAAAATGTTGAACCTGCCTACTGCACAAATATTTGCCTCGAGATGCAATTGCTCAGAAAGGAAAGCTTCAAGGTAAGTGTGGTAAGCATCTAACGTAGCATCTATATAGCACATTATTTAAGTTTAACACGTTCTAAAAGCATTAGACAAAAGAATCGAAAGGGACCATCAAAGATTCATCCGAGATGGTCGAGAGATGTGTTGAGGGTGAAGATTTGTGAAGAACGTAGCTTTCTGGCAGACGCTCAGCAACGCTCAGCAACGCTCAGCAACGCTCAGCAACGCTCAGCAACGCTCAGCAATGGCCACCAGGCTTTGGCTCTCTGGAGCGGTGGCACCGCCCATTGCTCTCGGTGAGGCCATGGCGGCCATGGTCGGTTCCAACTTTGGGGCCAACTTGTCGTGTGAGCGTATTGGAAGATTTGAATGGATATATATATATATATATGATACTTATATGATACTTATATGATACTTATATGATACTTATATGATCTTATATGATGATATGCAAAGCGAAGGGATCTAAGCCTGCTGGCGTGGCATGTACGATGTTGTTGCCTTCAAGATGGTCCTGGATAGATCTGAACTGCAAGGAAGATCTGAAATAACTTACAAAGATGGGGAGTGTAGGGACAGTGGAGTGATGTGGAGTGTTTATTCGTGCACAGTCTGTTTTCATGACCTGAAATGACCTCAGGTGGAAGATGTCTATGAAATTCCAGAGGAGGACTTTGATCGCTTGCTGAAGGCAAGGCAAGCGATGCAGCAACTCCTGGGACTTGCCCACTGCGCAGTGCCTGATGGCGATGGAAGGTAGCCATTTTTTAGTGTACCCTTAGTGAGTCCAGTGTCACGTGCTGCCTCCCCACACTGGGCAATGGTGGAGACAGTCAATGCACGGCATTAACATGTTAATACATGTCAATACATGCTAATATATACCTGTTAGTAGGTACATGTTAGTATATGAATATGTGATACATGTTAGTAATAAAGACAAGATATTTTCCATTTTACATTATGTCATTATATAGATATGATGTCACGATATTTCATACCTTTGCCGTTAGCAAAGACTATGAAATTATGTCAGGGGGCAGAGAGTACTCTGCTTAGCCACCAGCGAACACTCACAGGCAGGGCAACTGCAGTTGGCCAAGGAGGTCGGTGTTAGATGCTGAGTTCCCTGGGCTTTGAAGAAGAATGATGAAGAATGATGGAGAAGGATGAAGAATGATGAAGCATGATGAAGCATGATGATGAATGCGAAAAAATATCACAGCGTTATACGCATTTCCTACGGATTTCCTACGCAACTCTTTGACTTGGCAATGTTGATTCTGGCTCTGGCGACCTGAGATACTGTAGGTCTTCTCAATATTTCTCAATCACATTGTCGCCTAGACTCGGCCCTCATGGTACTCAGATGTACTCAGTGAGCAAGCACGATTTCTGATGTTTCTGCTTAATTTTTCCAAGACAAATCTGTGTACCTCATGGCACTATGGGCCTCGGGGTTTTCAAAGAAGCCCTGGTTGGCTCCTGGGAATTGACATTTCAATAATTTTCAATACATTCTCTGTTTGGAAGCTCCCTGCAGGATGACTTTGAGGCCAGGTTGGACAGGGCTTGAGGATAGAGTTATGAGATCTTTTGGGAACCAAGGATTGGAAATGAGCAAAAAGGTTCTTTATCAATTATTTATCTTTTTTTAAAACAAATTTGATTCTCAATGTTTTACCATTGGTTTAAATCAATTTCCTAGAAATCCATCAATTTTTCAATCGAAGAGTTCAGCAGCAAAACCACCACCCAGGAAAACAGCTGATTTTCACCAATTTTGAATGGAAAGACAATGGATAATTGATGAAATTGCATGTTTTGCTAGGGAATCGATAAACACTTGATTAAAATGTCAGTTTTCTAGGAACTTGATAAACACACGATTAAAACACGAGAAAACATGATAAATTGTGGTGCACAATTCTTGTAGAAATCATAAACAAAATTGATAAACATACAATACATTTGAAAATTGAGGATTGATAAATTGATAACAACCTGATAAATAACCTATTTTTGAACCTCCAGGCTGTGGCCCTGAAGAACTCATAAGGATAGGGCTTCTTGCCCTTGCGGCTCTGCTGTTCCAAAATCAATGTTCAAACTGCAAGAAACTTCAACAATAGTCGCAATGAGTCTGCAATGAGTCTGCAATGAGTCTGCAAGCACTTTGTGCCACATGGGGTGACTGTACAGCCCTTCAGTGCCCGGGACTTTCTCTGAACACTGCCAGGTGACTCGCCGTACAGTCAAGCGACCGCGGCAACATCCAGAAGAGGCGGGCTTTGCAGAAGGTATAAAGAAAAGCTGAGAAAAGCATAGCAAAGCTCGAGGAGAGCAGCCATGAGTAGTACGTGTGGCTGTACGCGTAGCTCTGCCATGTTCTGCCTGAAGTTCAAGGCGTTACATCGCTGTCATTCTTTGTCATCCTCTATCATTCTCCGGCTTTCAGGAAAGCCTTGTCACTGGGGCTGCAATCCGGGTCATTTTCACCTGTCAGGTCCTTGTCTCCACTTTGCCAGCTCCGGTGGCCAAACCAATGCCTTGATCTCAACCAAACGCTTGACCTGTGATGCAAAGTGGACAAGTTGAGCAGGCTCTAGCACCATTTTAATGAATAAGATTCTAAGATTGAATAAGAGATACGCACATGCACACACACAGAGAAAGATAGACAGACATGACAGACAGACAGACGGACAGACAGACAGAGAGAGAGAGAGAGAGAGACACAGAGAGACAGAGAGACAGACAGACAGCCAGACAGCCAGACAGACAGACAGACGCAAAATCTCGAACAATTGTACAGATCCCAAGCTCCTCCAAGCACTCTGTCTCCACATGAACATATCTGGGCAATGGCAATAGAATGAGAGAATATTAGAAACGCACCGTGACACTGTGACGCACCTTCAACTCCTCCGCGGCTCTCAAGGCCTCCTTCAACTGCTCCCACGCCTGGCAGGCGGGGTGCGATGGGAACTGGCACAGCTTGCCATAGCTCTGCATGGCTCTGAAGTTCTGAAGTGTCTGAAGCCTTGATCGTAAAACATGGAAATGGAATGCTTTAGGGACAATTGCAGCTCATTGCAGCTCTCTACATAGAATCAGCATGAGATAATTTGCCGGAATGTGGACTCAGACTGATTAAATCATATACATTTCCGACCATGCGAGAGCTAGTGATTTGTCGGCACCGAAGTGGGTTTGCTCTCAATACCAATCTTTTGTTTCCTTTTACCGTTTCTTGCTGATCTTGAAGTATATTGCGAGTATTGATACTGACGAGATTTGACTAGCTTTTCCTGGGGAAGAGGCGACTTCTCTTCGTGCTCTCAGCAATCATACTTTAGGAATGCCAAAGA